CCCCGCCCACCCCCGCCCCCATGGCCAGACCTCTCTGCAGCCGGGGAGCTGAAAGGCGCCTCCTGTGGAGTCCCAGGAGGCGGCGGTGCGACGTGGGCCTTGTGGCTGGGGGTAGGCCCTGTGTGCAGCGCGGCTCCAGCTGATGGGTCAAGTCTCCAGTAAAGAGGAAGTGGGGTTGTGTAGGGACTGCACCCCATCTGTGGGAGCAGACATGGGGGCCCAACCGGACCCTGGGGGGTGACAGCTGGCGCCGGACGCAGGCCTCCGCCAGGACTGCCCTGCGCGGCCCTGAGCTCAGCTGGCCCCGTTGGCTGGTGTAGGAAGCTCTGCGCTGGGCCCGCAGATCGCACGCCCGTGGGAGGGACATTCTCCAGCTCAGAAAGTGGGGGCAGCTCGCAGGCAGGATCCGCTCCCCACCTCTTTCCCTCGCCCCGGCCCCACCGGCAGCCTGGGTCAGGGTCACCTGGACACCTCTGCATCCTTTGTAGAGCGAGCAGGACGTCCCTGAGCCTCAGGCCCGGCTGGGCCGTCTCTACCTGTACAGCTGCAATGACCACTCTGCTTGCTCTGTGGCTGAGATCCAGAGAACAGACACGGCTGCCATCCTGGACATGAAATGGTACGAACTCGCTAGCAGCCCCATGGCCTGTATCTTGTCACTGGCAGGAAGCCCGATGCCTGGCAGCACCCCACAGACGGGCAGCCTCTGAGCTGTGGCTTGTCTCTTTGCTGTCCTGCCCACCTGCGGGCACTTGCGGGGTGATGCAGCCTTGGGGTTCATTTCCTTTGTGGATCTCCGAGCCCCAGAGTCAGGATCGTTCTGAGAAGTGGTGCTGGTGTTATGGTTCGTCAGCTGGGAATCTTGTTGGAACGGGGTTGTAGGCTCCAAAACAGTGTAGGGGCTTCCGTGTGAATGGTAAGTTCCTGGGGTGCACTATGCTGTCCTGTGTCCCGTTCTGACTGGCACGTGAACTCCCGCCTCAGGTGCCATGTCCCGGTGGCCGGCCATGCCCTCTTGGCTGTGGCTGATGCTGATGGGCTCATAGGGCTGTACCAGCTGCTGGGATCCAAGGTTAGTGGCTGGGGACGGGCGTCCTCGGGGCTGGAGGGAACGCGATGGAGAGGGTTTGGGAGGGAGCGTCTTCGGGGGTTACTTTCTGCCGGAAGTCTGGCACGCAGCGGTCTAAGGCAGCGCACAGCCCGCTTTAAGGTATCGGGTTCTGCCTCTCACTCGGAGAGGAGGTCACTTACGTGTCACCCGCAGAAGGGCTGAAGCGACAGGCTGCTGGCTTACCTGTCGATGGGTCTGAAAGGTCTTCTGTAAGGAGAGCCTGGACCACCTTTCTTTCTTTCTTTTTTTTTTAAATATATTTTTATTGATTTCAGAGAGGAAGGGAGAGGGAGAAACATCGATGATGAGAATTACTGATCAGCTGTCTCCTGCACGCCCCCCACTGGGGATCGAGCCCACAACCATGACCTCCTGGTTTATAGGTCGGGGCTCAACCATTGAGCCGCACCGGCCGGACAGCAGTGACTCTTATGTGGGACTGGCCCTTCTCAGCGACAGTTGGGAGAGCACACGACCACTGCGGGGACTTGCTGAGTGTTTGACAGCAGCCCTGACCGATGCGAGTCCTGCGGGGAGGGGAGTGGACAGCCCCCAGGGCCATGCCTGCTCTGGAGCACACGGCCTGCGGCGAGAGGGCTGGAGCAGAGGCCCAGGGGCGCCGGTTCGGGTTCGTGGCAGCGGAGGGCTCCGGTGGAAAGGCCTTGCTCCTGGCCTCGGGGAGCAGCAGCCTGTCCTGGGAATGAGGGAGGAAGACGGGACCCAGGGACCGGATCGAGGCAGGAGCCCTAAACCGGGAGCCGCCTGAGGGGCAACTGCTGGGAGCCTGTGGGTGGAGTTAAGCGGTCCAGGTTGCGTAATAAAACCTACGTGGATCTTAGGAGAGAGACAGCACTTCGTGGCCAGTCGTGGCTTTTGAAAAGGAACCCAGAGGAAAGTGTCGTCTGTGTCTCTGAAGGCCCAGCAGCCTGGGGAGCTGAGGGCGGCCACCAGGGCCCTTCCAAGCCACGTAGGGGAGTGAGAGCTTGGGGGGCGGGAGGGGAGCACGGGCAGCAAGGGGCTGAGGAGGGAGGCCTGCTTCCCCAAGGTCGCGGCTGGGAATCCCTCCCGCAGGTGTGTGAGCTCTCGGGTCTCCCAGTGAGTGCAGACCTTCACCTGGGAGTGAAGGAGGGCGAGAGGGCGTGGCGGCCGCCGGAGCTGGAGGCTGACCTCCAGGGTCCCGGGCCGCCCTGACGCGGTCTCTCCCCCAGGAGACCACCTACACCCTGCAGCCGTTTGCCAGCTTTGCCCTGAGCAAGCAGTGTCTGGCCTTGTCCCTGGATTGGTCCACTGGGAAGGCGGAAAGGTAAGGGCCCCGTCTTCGAGCTCATGGCTCATTCCTGCTTTCACGCGGGAGCATTGGCACCACCTGTGCTGCCCCGGCTGCGGCTCCCCAGACCCGGGGGTGTCACGCCAGCCCCCCAAAAGGACGGAAATGCCAGCCTTCTAGATGAAGGGCAGTGTCTCCACCAGGAGAGGCTGACACTGACATGTCCACAGGCTGAGTGGGAGCTCCGCTCTGCCAGGTGCCCAGGCACCTGCTTACAATGAGCCACGTGCCAGGCCATGCAGAGCCTCGCCCAGGACAGGCTGGGGGGCACAGCGTGTCACTGCTTGGGAACCTGAAGAGGTGATGAGTTTGGGTCTGGGTGAAGTTCAGCGGGTTCTCCGTTGCTCCCCTGTGTCTAGGACCAGTCACCAGCCCTTAAAAATCATCAGCAGCGACTCCAAGGGCCAGCTGCACCTCCTGAAGCTGGACGAGGCGGGGTCCGGGCTGCACGAGGTGGCCACCTGGCAGGCCCACAGCTTCGAGGCCTGGATTGCAGCTTTCAATTACTGGCAGACGGACGTGGTGTATTCAGGTGGGTCTCCTGCGCTGGGCGGCGGTCACACGTCGGCATCACGCTCCCTCTCGGAACACCAAACGTGCGCTGGGAGGAGCGAGCACACGAGGCGGTCGGGCCCTGACCCTGGCCTCGCTGGGATCTGAGACCTTGTGTGCAGAATGCGCTTTCTGGGGCCAAAGCTGTGGCTGGTCCCCACCTCTCAGCACAGCGGCGTCCGCTGCAGGATCTGCGGGCCTGGGTGGCGCTGACCGGGCAGTGGCAGCGGGAGCCCTGCCTCTGCGGTGCTGTCTGCGCGGAGTCGGCGGAGGCCCCGGCGTGGCCGGTGCTTGTGAGTCCCGGGCTGGCTCAGCAGCTGGATTTCGCGTTGCTGCTGCCTTTATGGGGGGTTACCTTCCTGAATGAAGGGGAAAGGGAGAGATGGGTCGACTTCCTGGGGCTGCGACTTGGGGATGAGAAGGGAACGGTGGCCTGTGCAGCCTCTGACCCAGGCAGGTTCTCTCCCCGGAGGTGGTGGCCTTGGTCTCTGGGGGGACAGGAGAGGAGCGGCTGGACGTGCAGGACGCAAATACCCGACCTATTCCTTCTCCGTCGCGGCTGGGAGGAGAGGCAGGCTGTTCTGTCAGACCCAGGAGCTGGGCACCCCCACCAGAGCCGTTCCTGCCAAGGTTCTGGCCGCGGCTCCTTCGGCCCATCTTGCTTGGCTCCTCACCAGCCGTCCCTTCTTCCCCTGCAGGCGCCTGAGTCTAAAGGCAGTTGTGGCTCAGGGGTGCTCTTCAGTCTGGTGGCAACCAGGAACCCCAGGAAAAGTCGCCCCTCAGACTCGAGTTCCCTCCCTGAGACACGGCCACCTGCTGCTCCAGGGCCCCCGTCAGTGGTGCTTCTCTCCCGCAGGTGGGGACGACGGCCTGCTGAGAGGCTGGGACACCAGGGCACCTGACACACCTACGTTCACCAGCAGGAGGTAAACCCAGGGCCGGCAGAGGCTGTGACAGCGCCGCGTCCGCCTGCCCTGCGCCTGCTGAGGTCTTGCCCTTTGGTTACAGACATCGCATGGGGGTGTGCAGCATCCAGAGTAACCCCCACCAGGAGGGCATCCTGGCCACGGGGAGGTGAGGCCGCGGCGGTTCCTGGGTCCTTCCTGCCATGGGGCCAGGGTGCGGGTGTGGGCGGGGGCTCGGTCCTGGGTCCTGGTGAGTGGGGCGGGCTCCCGGGAGACGTGCCCGCACTGGGGCCCTGTTGTTGGGTTTCAGCTACGACGAGCACGTTCTGCTGTGGGACGCGCGGGACATGACGCAGCCGTTCGCAGACGTGCCTGTGCAGGGCGGGGTGTGGAGGCTCCGGTGGCACCCCCTGCAAAGCCACCTGCTCCTGGCGGCCTGCATGCACGGTGGCTTCAGCGTCATCGACTGCCAGCAGGCCACGGGTGAGTGGGGCTCCCAGCTCCTGCCGCAGCCACCGAGCCCCGCACACCCCAGGTCCCCAGGCCCGGCTGGGATCGCCCCCGAGTCTCAGTTGTGAGCACTGGGCCCTGCCCTGCAGCTCTTCCCTGACCAGCTGGGGTGTTCTGGAACCTTCTGCATCGCTGGGGACCTCTGCCAGGAGCCTGCGCACTTGTCACGTTCCTCGCCACCGGGTGTTCTGGAACCTTCTGCATCGCTGGGGACCTCTGTGCCAGGAGCCTGCGCACTTGTCACTTGGCCCACCTTCTGCCTGTTCTTCCTGCCGGCGCGCAGTGTGGTCTGTGTGGCCTGGGGCCCCAAACATGCTTCACTGACTCACTGTGGGCGGAACCAGCACCGGTCCCGCCAGCTCTGCTGGGCCTTCCTGCAGCGTGTGCTGTGGCAGGTCCTGGGACTCGCCAGGCATCGCCCTGGCTTTTGCGGCCCTGCTTGGTCCTTGCGAGTTCTGATCGCGAGTCAGGTCGCTGTGCCCCTGACCCCTGCGCGTGGGAGGCAGCAGCAGCCACCCTTCCGGGGCTGTGACTTTCCAGCTGGTGACGGCGCTCTGCGCTCACACCCTCACTGGCCCTGGCTTCCCCCAGCGGCTCCTGCCAGCCTCGGCCCTGCCCTGGACCCGGGACCCCCTCAGGGTTGGAGACCACTCATTTCTTCTTCTGGTCGTGTTGCTCTCAGACCTTCCGCAGCTTTGTGCCTTCTGGATGGAGGCCTGGCCTCTTCCCAGTCCCACCTCCAGCCTCAAAGTTGCCATAGCAACTCACCACCAGGAAACTGCTGGTGTTCAGACTCTGCGAGCTGAGCACGCTGACGCTGACGGGGGTGACCCTCCCGCCTGGTCGCACGCCCCGGCCCGTCCCCTCGTCCCTCGTGTGTGGTTCCTCACAGGAGCCCTGCTCTCCCTCCGCCGCACGTGTGCTTGTTCCGCTTCTCCTGCCTCCCCCTCTCCCTCTCCCTCCACGGGCAGCTCCTTTGTCCTCAGCTGCGCACGTCCTGCCAGCCAGGCCGAGTGCTCTCAGGTGCACGGCGCATCACGCCTGGTGTCAGCTCACCTCTGTCCGCATCGCATGACGGTGAGGGCGGGCAGGGCTGGCGGAGGGGTGGACGAGACCGGCTCTGCGTAACGTTGCGTTTCCTGTTCTGTCTCCGTCCAGAGAAGAAGCAGGACACGTGCACGATCTCTGTGTCCCACACGCTGCCCAGCTCCCTGCTGTACGGGGCCGACTGGTCCTGGCTCACCTTCTGCCGTCAGCCCAAGGCCCAGCCATCATCCCCCTCAGGGTCCTTGTCCGGCAGCGACCCAGGAGCCGGAACAGAAGACGAGGCTGGAGACCAGGGGCCGGGACCTGCCTGTCCTGACAGTCCAACCGACGACGGGAGTGGAAGCAAGGAAAGGACTCCTCCCCGGCCGTCCACAGAGGACGTGAGGAAGGGCAGCAGCCAGCTGCACAGCCCAAGGACCAAGATCTGTGTCTGTGACTCGGGCATGGAAGCAGACCCTAACATCCACCTGCTGGCCACTTGCTCCTTCTACGACTGCGTTCTTCACCTCTGGGGGTGGGAGAGCAGCTGAGCCGGGGGGCAGGCCCCGGCTGGGGATCATAAAGACCGTGCCGTGAACGAGCTGCCTCAGACCCTCACTGGGCTTGCTGGTCTCCGACACCTAGTGTAGGGCTGCATCTCGGGGAATCTGCAGTGTGGACAGCCAGGAGCTGTTGGCTTCTCAGTGACCCTTATCTGCTGGGCCCTTCCAACGGTGACGCTGGCCCTGACTGGTGTGGCTCAGTGGGTATGTTGGCCTGCAGACTAAAGGGTCCCAGGTTCGATTCTGGTCAAGGGCACAGGCCCGGGTTGCGGGCTTGATCCCCATGGGGGGTGTGCAGGAGGCAGGTGATCCATGATTCCCTCTCATCATTGATGTTGCTACCTCTCCCTCCCTTCTTCTCTCTCTGAAATCAATTAAAAAAAAAATACACAAAATACGGTGATTCCGGCTGGGAGGGCCTCTCCCAGTTCTTGGGCTTGTCTTCTATGGGTCCGACTTTCAGTTCTTCCTGTTCATTTAAGCAACATTTATAGTAATTGGAGGAAGTTTTTTAAAGCTACTTTATATCACCAGAGGGATTGTACATGAACTTTTAAAACAGCGGTTCTCAACCTGTGAGTCACGACCCCTTTGGAGGTCAAAGGACCCTTTCATAGGGGTCGCCTAAGACCATCCAGCAGATCAGGTATTTACATTACGATTCACAACAGTAGCAACATTACAGTTATGAAGTAGCAACGAAAATAATGTTATGGTTGGGGGTCACCACAACGTAAGGAACTGTGGCGGCATTAGGAAGGTTGAGAACCACTGTAAAGGATCACCTACCCCACCGAGGAACCAGCACTTACACATTTGCCGGCTTCGCAGCACCAAGAGGGTGTGTGCGTGCAGTTGTTGAGCTGTG